CCCCGCCCCCGCCCCCCCCCCCCCCCCCCCCCCCCCCCCGCCCCCCCCCCCCCCCCCCCCCCCCCCCCCCCCCCCCCCCCCCCCCCCCACCTTGTTCGGAGGTAGACCTTGAGCTCTAAGGGGGTCGCTCATATTAGAACAAAGGACTATCCAGTGAGCTGGGCTGGACCCAAGAACTGGTTCACAATAATATTAGCCCAGAACTTGGTCTATTCAGCCCGCAATCTCGGGCCAGGCATCGTGAAATGTGTGTGGCGTCGATCTTTGCAATTATCGACCTTGCGCGTTTGCTAAGTCTGAATACCCACGAGCCAACGGAATACTCAAGGCCGTGTATGCTAGCCATGCATGTCAGGGCGTTACAGGAGCATATGGCGATGTATACCTACTACTATAGTATAGCTCAACTGTCGACAAAACGCCATTACGGTTTAGATCCGTAGCCGTTTTATGTAGGTACCTAGTACGGTAGCTGCCAATATCGCCGAAAAACCCGGTGCCCAGCTATCCGGGATCCAAGGTTTTAAGCGCAATACCACCCCCACTGAATGGTAAGGAGTATTGACGTAAGGTTTCTTTTTGGGTAAAAATAATACCTCGTAAACAAGTGCGGAACTGTCCATAATCTTGGCTTGACGATGTTTTCGGCCAAGGGACGAAGAATTACTTGAACGCTTTGACAATGACCAATGACTTGTTACCGATGAGAAGTCTAGACCTAAAGAGCTAAGAGCTCTTATCGGCGAGGACGGGGGGCGATAACTATATCGAGCTGACTGGCTGGCCCTAAGAAAATTGGGTGTGCGGGCAAAAGGTATTAGGGATGGTTTTTTTTATTTTTATTTTTTATTTTTTGAAAGGAAGCAAAGCAAAGTACCTATTGGATGTAAAGGAGGGGTATTGTACCTTTCAAGCTAGGATGCCAGGATGCCAGGATGCATAGCATACCTCCGCACCATATACTGCACCCATAGCTTTGTGCAGGTAGAAACCTAGGGTAAGGTACCTACCTGTCAACAGTCAACAGTCAAAAGTCAACATGTATACACATACCTCCTAACATACCACATACTACTTCAGGTAAGACATATTGATATCCTCCATCTCCTAAACGAGAAAAGGAATTGGCAGATACATACTTTAGTATACCTTAGCACACCAACCGGGAAGCTTTTGTCCGAGACCATGGGAATAATCGTATCCACAGTAGTTGGGATTAGTTGGGATTTTCACTCCAAAATATGCCCGTCACCTAGACCGTAAAAGCCGTACTGTTTTACTTGTAATTGGAATCAAAAGCAATGGTGTAACCGCACCGCACCCTTCGTACCGTGCTCCCTTGTGGAGTACCTATAATGAAGTTGGCTAATTCCCTAACTTAGAATGGAGAGTAATTTACTTTGACCAAGCAGCCCGGGGTCTAGTTCTCGAGTCCCCGTTGACTTTGTTAGTTCAACTTTAGGTATCTCCGTTTTTATGTCCTTGGTATTGTTGGACTAGTTTTTTTAGTCGACGCGGTATGACATCGATCACTTAGCCTCTATCCAGACCACCGGGCGCTTATAATAATATCGACTCCTCCGAGCTTCGAATCTTGTGACAGAGCCATATTTCTCTCGTCAGAACTCGTCGTGCAGCATCGGGTCGCTTGGGCTTTTCTCGGCTGGCCTCGTTGACCTCGTCATTCCCATACTCATCTACTAATTAGCCATGTCTTTTGATTCTACCCATTCGTTCAAGGCCTCGCCCGGCGTGATCCCGATCGCGCCGTGGCAGGCTTTTGACAAGGTCTGGATGTCGGTTACGGGATATCATGCAAATGAGTTTAAATTCGCTCAAGGAGTTACTCCCATGTCGACTCTGACCGAGACTGTGGGCATGATTGTCCTCTATCTCGTCGTCATCTTCGGGGGGCGCGAGTTTATGCGGAACCGCGAGCCTCTCAAGTTGAACGGTCTTTTCAAGGCTCACAACTTGTTCTTGACCCTGCTGAGTGGTGGCCTCCTGGTTCTCTTCATTGAGCAACTGGTTCCGACTATCTGGAAGCACGGCCTCTACCAGAACATCTGCGACGCTGAGGGCTGGACTGACGAGCTCGTAACGCTCTACTATGTAAGCAGATAGAAAGCAAAAACTCTTGAACCGCCACGATAACGCTAATGCAAGATAGCTCAACTACATTACCAAGTATATCGAGCTTATTGACACTGTGTTTTTAATGGTGAAGAAGAAGCCTCTTACCTTCCTTCACACGTATCATCATCCGGCAACGGCGCTACTTTGCTACACTCAGCTGATCGGCCACACGTCGGTCTCGTGGGTCCCCATTACTCTGAACCTGACCGTGCACGTGGTGATGTATTGGTACTACTTCCAGAGCGCCCGAGGCGTCAAGGTGTGGTGGAAGGAGTGGATTACCCGCATGCAAATTGGACAGTTCATTCTCGATCTTGGTAAGGCCCTTACTGGACCACCCTTCTCGATGGAAGACGCTAACCGCAGCCTCAGGATTTGTGTACTTCGCATCGTGGGACTACTATGCTAGCGCTCACGCTCCGTATCTCCCTCATCTGGGGCGATGCGCAGGTGAACCTTTTGCGGCTATCTGTGGGTGCCTGATCTTGAGCTCGTATCTGGTACTCTTTATCATGTTCTACATTGCCACCTACAAGAAGTCATCCTCGCGCAAGGCCAATACGAAGTCTGACAAGGCGGCCGTATCGTCGATGAAGCAGAGCGCCGCTAAGGTTGCCGACAGCTGCAGTGGGGTGGAACACATGAACAGCTCCATCGTTTCGAGGAAGTGATATTTTCTTAGCTTTTCCTTTTCAATGCTCATCGCTTGGATATTAGCATGGACTGTGGATACACCTAATCATTGTCTTCAAAACTTGTCAGATCTTCCCACGTTCCAGAACGGGGAAGTGAGGCATGGCTTCGGGCGTATGGAGTAGTCGTTTCTGTCTATCATTAGAACCAATGGAAATGTATAATTTTTAGTTGAATGTACTTATTATGTGAGTTGTTAAGCTTATGGCGATTGGCGGACATCCTGTAGCTAAGGTGTAATGAGATAGCAAAGATGTCAAAACAAAGCGAAATGGTGTAATTGTCATATTGACGTGAAGTTGAAAAAGAGGCACGATGGCCAAGAAAACCGGCAGGGCGGAAATCTCTGTTAGGTACCCTGGTAAGTGGGTTACATAGTACAGTTACAATACGCTATAAATTACCCCTGCTGTAAGATGTACTTCTTCCCACCCAATCATACTCAACTACCGACCTAAGACTCAAAGCTAAATGCTCTTCTCCTTACCTACCTCCTACCTATTATCTTGATAAGTGACGTGCCGGGCCGCAAGAAATACCCGCTCCGTCTTTACGTGATCGAGATTGATCGGTGGAACCCCTTAAGTACAATATGTAGGATTATAGGTACCTCTTATAATAGTTGAATGGTTGGTACAGTTTAAAATGTTTGAATAAAGTAGTTGATTATCTTCTTTATAAATGAATGTTTTTTTTTGGCGACTTTTTTATTATATTTTATTTATTCAAAGTTATATTAGGTACTTTAGCTGTACCTTTCTTGCTTAATCGTAATGAACGTCATTTGGGCTACGTTACACAGACTTCTAATATGCCGATAAGCTAGGTAGGTACCTGTTAATTTTTTATTTTTATTTTTTAACCTATCCCCTATACCCAATAAGACCCTCAATGTTTCGGCCGGTATCCAGAACGCTAGTTCCACCTACCCCCTAAAGCCAGTTTAGCTTCACATCATATACCGGGCATATCAAGAAAAAAGATCCTACGCTTGGGGCGCCATTCTAGACTGCCGGGAATCGCTCAACCCGAATCAAACCCACATGTGACAGTAATGAAAGTCCTATTCTATTATTCGTATTATTTTTTTCGTACAGACGAGAATAGCTTTTTGGCTTCTACCTATAGATAAGGCGCTTAACAGATGTTACCTGACATGGTATATCTAACATACAGATGGGATAAGCTGGCCCTGTCGAAAGCGTTTTAGTAACAGTTCCCAAGACATTGTCTAGAGCTTATTAGAATATCCAATGCTTTAATTCCTCAAATGGGACGTCCGGAAACCCAGCACGGCGTCACCCTACGCGACATTCTCCATATAGAGCACGTTCGTTTTCTTGACTCGGAACTAGCAGTACGGACTTTACCAGATCGTGGGGGATTCCTCCTAGTTTGGATATCACTGAATCATTGACTAATCGATCTATCTCTTTAGGTCCGGATATGTCAATCACTGCCCGTTTTGACATGTCATCTCCCAGCCTGTCAGCTCCAATGCTAGGTAACGAACATGTAAAGCAACAAAAACAATGCCAGGTATCTAACCTAACTAACCTAGTAATCAAGTACCTTATGCATGTCCTATGTAGTACCTAGGTAATAATAATAGCACGATAAAGGAAGTTCCGCTCTGTAGGGGTTGTACAATACAATATGGTAGACAAAGGGTGGACAACCTTGGGGCGCCTTATCTCACTCTCCGTTGCTAGCTGCTGGCTAGGTACCTCAACATACTGCTCGGCCTGGACCATAATATTCTTCGTCCCCAATGATATCACAACCCGGCGGCGCAAGTTGGGCTGCTTCCTGTCTTTCAGCTGGGCCTTTCTTGACATATATGCGTGCGGGAACGTTGCGGATAACCGTCGTATCTTGTGAAACCTTTAGATGATGTTGTTTAGCAAAACACATGTTGATATTTCATGCCAATCTTTCATACCAGTACGGGGAGCTCATAACTCGCATTACAATAGACTTAGACTTTTACAAACTTCAAAATCTTTCCTTTGTTTAGATCCAACAAATATGTCGACGACGTACATACTAGGCTCTATCAACGAGAGCCGTGGGACAACCTACGACTTCTCATCAGAAGATCCCCTCGCCGACATCCCACCCTCTAAGCCATCTATAGCACATATCATATATCCCCATTTAACATGGTCGACGCTGTGGTTTACGTTACTATGTTTTTTCGTCGTATTAAACATAAAGAATATGCCATTTATGTGGCATGTAAGTTGCTCTCATCTCACCCTTACGCTCTGCCTCTCTTTTCTGTCTCCCTAAAGCTAACATGCTCTCAAGCTTCGACTCGTCAATGCTTTCCGTTTTATCCTACGAACGCAGCGGCCAGCCGTGCCGCTCAAGCCGGCTCACATCTTCCAGCCAATCATCACATCCTCAACAGCGCAACTCATGGAGATCGACTTCAACATGCACAAATCTAATTCGTCCTATTTCTCGGACGTTGACATCGCACGAACACACCTAGTTTGCACACTGTTCGCGAATGGCATCGAGCAGATGCGCGGTGGGACCGCTGCATACACAGGGTCCAAGCAGCCCGTCTTCGGCCTTGCGCTCGGCGCCGTATCATGCAACTTTAAACGCGAGCTACGCCCATACGAAGAGTACGAAATGTGGTCCAAGATCCTGACCTGGGACGAGAAATGGATCTACATCGTAACCCACTTCGTCCGCAAGGACGCCGCGAAGCCAAAAATTTACTCGTTGTATCCCGAACAGTCTCCGAGCCTGAGTCGACGGAACAGCACTACTACAGCGTCGGATGAGGACCTACTACGCCGTTCTAGCGACAACGGCGTATCTAGTAACAGTAATAGCAATAGTGACGCGAGTCACGAGGCCAACAATAACAATGACAACAGCAACAAGCCAGAGAAACATATTTTCGCCACAGCCCTGAGCAAATGCGTCTTCAAGTCCGGCCGTAAGACCGTGTCACCAGAACTGATGCTACAGATGTCCGGCCTATTACCGTCGGGTAATGGTGCCGAGGCGAAAGCGTCGTTCGACGAGGCCGCGCTAGAGGAAATCGAGGCGCAGAGGCGAAGCGGGCTCGAGACCGCGCAGCTCCTCGCCGGCCAGACTCAGCAGAACCTCGAAGCGGAGTTCGCGGGCGCGGGCTGCGAGGCCCTGGGCAGACACACGGACGGCGCAGGCATAGTTGGGGTAGTCAACACGCTCCTGCAGCTCGCGCGCCTGAAGAAGACACAGTTATTATGATCATCACTGGTTACCTCTCCGTTGTCACCGGGTGGTAATTACGGTGGCGTTTTGCTTGAAATACACGGGATTGCATTCATTACACAGCACACCTTTTTCTTCTTCTTAATAGCGCGACTGCTTCGTCATTGTACCTATCATATCCCCCATCCCCCCCAGCATACCACATACATATCCTACATACCATGTAGTTTAGAAAGTATAATGAGCTAATACCACATACATACCTACCTCGCAATGCAACATAATAACAAGTAAATAAAGCCAAAAGAAAAAAAAAACTTGGTTTTTTATTACGAGTAATTCGTCATATTACAGACAGACACAGACACACACACAGACACACACGCACATAAGCTTATCTGGGATCTACGGCGGTCACACATGAGATAATACCTAGAGAAAATAGGATGCGGCATAATAGATACCGGCAATCTTAATACGAGATATGACCCCCAACTCTCCGCCTATCTCGCAGTTGGAGAAGCTTGATTCGACCACGTATGGTCGCGTGCGCGCCTGGAAGTAAACAGGGCGAAACATAATTTTGCATTTGTGAGTATGTTATAACTATTCCCGGAGCTGTGGCGTCTGAGACGGATTTTGGAAGTGTCTAGGTTTGAGGCAGTCTGGAAATGAAATAGGGCTTCCCTGGGAAGAGTAGTAAGTCGAGGGACTTGTGTGTATTGATAGGTATGTAAAGATAGGCCGGCTTACCTTACCTTACCTACCTTACCTTAGGTACCTATGTAGGAATACAACAAAAGCCATAGGACCTGGGAATAGTAAATAGGCGAGATAGTTTTATTTTATTTATTTTTATAACTACCTTGCCTAGATTAAGTAGGTATGTATAGATAACTTCTAGTTATTAACACTCCTTGCTGTCGAACCTGTCAAACTTATTGGCTTGTGTCAACGGCAAATACCTAATCTCTATTCTACTCTGCATATACCTATAATAGACTTATCCAGGGGTCACCGTGTAAAGCGTAATAAGAATTTATTTAGCTGTCTACCTGCCTCATAGATGTTCCCAGTTAACCAAGCAGTTCCAACGAACTTACAGTAGGGGCGAACCTCCCCCCCAACCGTAGTAACACTCTGTGAACCATATCAACCATGTCAACAAGTAAACATTGGTGGAATTACGGTAAATTTGCTTAACCCAACCTAACCTAACCTAGGTAACCTAGCCGGTTCTGGAGAAACCTAGAATATGTACCCAAGGACGGAGACTGACAGTACCGAGTAGAATAGTTTACGCCTGGGCAAGCCACGTGGGCGATAATACATCATGACATCCCTCCCAGGTAAGACCTGAGGCTCCGTATACTACCTAGACCTTCGGAGGTATATAGGAGGTAGGTAGGTAGCTAAGTCTTGACGCTAAGGGAGTTTTTTACATCATGCAAATAAATTGTTGTATTTGTCTTGTCTCACTTCATTTTACTTTGCCTACGCTAGTCCAGTCGTGTCTGGTTGCACTAGCAGTTGGTATTCATGTAATATCCATATCCATGCAGTCTGATAGGAGGTACCTTAGGTACCTATCTATCCATGGTACCTCTGCGTACCTAATGCTGTAACGCCGTTTTTTTTTTCTCTTTTTGACTGACGCATCTGCGCATTGGATTTAAGTTAGGTACCCTACCTTGTACTAGATACTTCCTGTCCCCCACCTAACTAGCTTACCTTAGGTACCTACATGTAATGTACCTAGGTGCTACGACGTACTAAAACGGGAAGAAGGCACTAAAAACCCCAAGCGAGGCTAAGGGATAGCGGCGTTCATTCGACCTCCCGGGCTTCCGTGGCTGCAGGCGAGGTTGCAGCGGTGGCAGCGGTGGCTTCGGCCCACATCCGCTAAATTACCCACTTTAACTAGATTCCAAGACGGCGGGCCGCAGATCATTTCCCCATTTTTAAACCTCCGATTCATGAATAGCGTCGTCTTCTCTTTCTTGTGTCTCTGTCTTGTCTCTCTTGTGTACCTCTCACTCTCTTGTCTATTTTTTACTCTTTCTTTTATTTTTGCACATTGGCAGATTACCTACATGCCTAAGGTACCTAGATTAGGTACCTTGCATCATGTACCTTCTTTACACATAAACCATACCCAGTACCTAGACCCGGCCTTGTCAGCAGCGCTATTGAAATATAAACCGGGTTTTCTTTTCGCTCCCTCTACTCTCTTGCTATTGGATAGACCAGAGCTCAGCTTGTTGTAGCTTATTATAGGTAGCTCGTTGTTGCTTGTTGCCCTAGCACTACTATACTTATCGCCGACCTTACTTCGTACACTAACATGAAAGCTTTTGCTTGTCTTGTCATGCATGTTGCTAAAGCTTTCATACCTCTTTTGTTTGTTCCGTAATCCCTCCCCCCTTATCGTGGGGCCTTTTCGTAGCTTAACCTACTCGCCGTCCAAATACTACATCCTATGTAATCTCAGCTTATCCCGTGTCCGGCAAAGTGGCTTTCTCTTCATTAATTCTTTCCAATGGAAGCATAGCCTGGATAGGTGACTCAGTCGGCGATCGAAACATCCAGACCTACGTGCCCCATCTGCGGGAAAAACAAGGCAGCTTCCTATCTTCCATGAGTGTGGGAGGGCTTGCTTGCCCAGCTGCGAGCTAAGACCTGGGCACCATCGGCATTGGGGAGATTAGACTCGAGGTGCCGTACCCGCGGAGACCAGGTGGACTGAACCACCTCTGGCGTGTCAGTGACGTCGCGCGTCTCCAACGGTGAGTCGGTCCCTATGTGACCGGGGTAACACGGTTCTCCAACGCTTGTTAAGATGTTTTTCAACCGTTTTTACCATCTTCGATCTGGACTTGGTTCAGAGGCTGCCCTTGTTGTGCATCCTGCTGAACCTTGCCAAACTGAACCCGCGATGGAGGAGGACGGCGGCCATCGTACCTCACCGGACGACGCTTCGTCAGTGGACATGTCCACCGCTTCCAACGATGGCAGGGTCAGTCTCTCCTCGACGCAGTTTGATGGCGATGCTCGATCGAGCGTCCCTTCGCTTCGTGCCGCCTCTCCCTTCTGGCTTGCCGATGAACTGATCGACGGCGTTTCGAAACTCAAACACTCCCACTCCCGGGGCATTTCTGTGGCCTCGAGCAACACCTTGACGAATGGAGGCAGCCAGGTTGGCAGCCAGATTCACTTGGATGGGCACGCCAGCTTAACTGATCTCCTGGTAGATTCGGCACCTCATCTCCTACATCTATCGACTGTCAGGATAGATGACTCAAGGTTCAGAATCGTCTCATCTACGCCCAAGGAACGGCTCGTGACGCCGGTCGAAGAACAGAGGCACCCTGGCAAGCCAGGCGTACAGTCTTACAACTCGCGACCGTTTGAACCGGAGCCGCCGAGGGAAAGCGACGTGCGAAGCCAACGATCCTCCGTCACGGTGACGGAAACCACCGATCAAAATCAGTTCTTACAGGGAATCCCGCTACTTCTACTCAGTACTGGACTCTCATTAGTCGTTTTCTTAATTTCTATAGACCGAACTATCATTACAACCGTAAGTAAACAAGAAAAAGGGCTTCAGAACTGGGAATAAGAGACAGAGAACTAACGTGAAATACAGGCCATTCCTTTCATCACCGCCGAGTTTAAATCTACGGCAGACATAGGCTGGTATGGCTCATCATACCTCCTTACGGCATGCGCCTTCCAACCCGTCTTCGGACGCGTGTTCACTCTCTTTAACGCCAAATGGTCGTATCTCCTTTCTATGGTTGTTTTCGAAATAGGCTCCATCATCAGCGGGTTCGCGCCGTCTTCAGCATGTTTGATTATTGGGCGCGCAATTGCCGGCTTTGGCAGCGCCGGGATCTTAACGGGGAGTTTTGTTATAGTTGCTACGGCTGTACCATTGAAGGCAAGGCCGGTATATACTGCAGTGGTTGGGTTAATGTAAGACTCGAATAACTCCCGAGTACCCAAATTGCGGCAAGCTAACTTCTCAGGTTCGGTGTTGGCGCCACGGTTGGCCCTCTCATCGGAGGTGTATTTACAGATCTGGTCGTATGTATAACCCTTCGAGCCGTTGAAGAATCCGCAAGCTGACGTTGACACAGACGTGGCGATGGTGTTTCTGGATCAACCTTCCAGTCGGTGCCGTGACTATCATTGTAATGATACTTGTATATCACCCGCAGCCACGCAAGGAGACTAAGCAGAGGATTACACAGCGATTGATCAACCTCGACCTCGTCGGAAACGTAATCCTCTTAGGCGCTGCGGTGATGTTATTCCTGGCTCTGGAATACACCCTGACAGGCGCCGACTGGGCAAGCGCAATAGTTATTGGGCTGCTCTGCGGTGCCGGCGTAACAGCTATTGTACTTGGTGGGTGGCTCCGGTGGAAGAAAGACCGTGCTTTGATCCCGCCCGCAATTGCCAAGCAGAGGACCGTGGCAGCGTCATGCCTGATGGCGTTTTTCACCTACGGCGCTCTCCTCATCCATACGTATTTCCTACCGATTTGGTTCCAAGCCATCTTAGGCTATAACGCCATTCACTCCGGCGTCGCCATGATTCCTTATTTTGTCGCGAACGCCCTATTCTCCGTCTTCTCCGGCATCTTCGTCTCGGCCGTCGGCTACTTCACGCCCCCGGCCATCCTGGGAAGTGCCATCGGCACCGTAGGCTGCGGCATTATCACTCTGTTCCGCCCGACCATGAGCACGGGAATGTGGATCGGATTCGAAATTCTCGCGTCGGCCGGGTTCGGTATGTCGATCCAGCAGGGCTTTACGGCGGTGCAGACGGTATTAGGGCCGGATGAGCTCGCCGTGGGTACCGCCGCCGTCGTCGCGTCTCAATCCCTAGGTGGCGCCGTGTTTATATCGGTTGGCAATAGCGTCTTCCAGAACCGTCTTGCGGATCTCGTCGAGCAGGCGGATATTCCAGGTCTCGACGTCCGTGCTATCGTGGGCGCAGGGGCCATCGCCTTTCGAAAGGTTGTACCGGCCGAGCAGCTTCCCGCTTTATTGACGCTGTACGACCAAGCACTGCGTACGGTCCTTCTCGTGGCAATACCGCTCGCCGGCCTAGCGTTCTTGTCGTGCTGTGCCTTGGAGTGGAAGTCTGTCAAGAAACCAAACAAACCCGTACCTGGAACGGAAAAGGTGTAGATACGATATACGCTACCTATTACATTTTCACTTTGTTGTTATTATTTGTTGTTATTATTATTATCATTATTATCATTACTATTATGTTAATCAAGGGTATGATAGGTTAGGATAAGATAAGTAATGGGTCAGATACCTACCTAGATATATCAGTCGATCAGTACGGCGTATTAATGTTTGGGAGAACATAGCATTATTTTTGAAATTTCCGCGTTTAATGCTACTTTGCCACGCTGCCAACGCTGCCACGTTACGCTGGCGCATAGCGCAATACAACCCCTGTTAGCTTAGGGTCGTCGAGCATAGGTACCAAACCAACAGGGCTGGTCAGGGCCGTACACGGATTAGATCTGTTTTATGCTTATGCCTAGCATGTGCTTCTTTGGATTAAGGAGTGACGGGATAAATTTACTTGGCTTAAATACCTCCTACGTAACTACGTAATAGTCAACATACTTACACGATAGATTCAATCGGCTTTGTTTAGTGAAGATAAAACATACATGAGGTAATTCACAAGCGATTGTTTCGAAAACTCAAAGAAACAATGGGTTCTTTGACTCTAGTGACACGATAAATATAGAGCATGACAGATTCGGAAATGGGGCGGGAAACATAGGGGATCCAGCAGGGTGGGCGTATGGGCATATACATACCTATCCATATTATCTGCAAAACCCTGGTGATCTTATCTGCGTTTTGAGCAGCATGTAGGCCGTGCTCCGTAGAACACACTGGACACGAAAGTCAGAGGCAACCAAGCTTTGTGGGCGAAGGAAGAAGCAAAAGAGAAAAGAAAAACCACCCGCCGTTCATTCATTTAAAATTTCGTATTTTTTTTTGTCCAAGTGCTTTTCTTCAGTGCCTTCACGCGGCTGGACCGAAGAAATTATTCGAGACGCTCCTTTTTTTCGGTTACTTTTTAAAAAAGGGTGTTGGATAGGTTCAAGTGATCAACCAGCCAGCCAAGCCAGCCCGCCATGGGGATGGAGCAAAGGTGGAATGATTTCGGGGAGAAGCACCCGGAACTACATGACAAACTAACGAGGGCGGCAGAAGCCGTCAGGCCGTATCTGCCGCCGGTCAACTACATCACGCTGCACTACGCGTACTTCGTGGGGACGACGGTGGTGGGGACGCTGATATTCTGGGGCGCGTCGGCGCCGCGGTACAGCGTCGGGTGGTGGGACAGCATGTTCATGGTGATGTCGGCGCTGACGGCGTCGGGGCTCAACACCGTCAACGTCAGCGACCTGACCACCTTCCAGCAGGTCGAGCTCTGCGTGCTCATGATGATCGGCAGCCAGGTCCTCATCTCCTACGTCACCATCGCCTTCCGCAAGCACATATTCGAGAAGCGCTTCGAGGACATCGTCCGCATGGAGCGCGAGAAGCGCAAGAAGAAGGTCTCCAGGACCAGCGCCATCGTCGGCATGACCGGCGCCATGTTCGGCCTCCAGGTCATGTCGTCGTTCGGGAAAGGCCGGTCCCCGGATAAGGCGAAGCCCGGCGCCCACGTGAGGAACGTGTCGTCGTCGAGTAGAAGGGGGGTTGTCGGCGGTCATGCCGAGGAGACCATCCCGGAAATCGACATCGAGAGCGCGAGGGGCCAGCACCACCATATCAATTTCCTCGAGCCCGTGCAGGAGGGTAAGTCCCTCGAAAGCCACGCCGCGGCGACCGGACACTCGATCTACCAGACGCAATCGCATCAGAGCACGGCGGCGAGACGGCGGCCTCAGACGGCGGAGTCGGGGACGGGGTTTGAGGGTTTCAACGTGCAGACGTTTCTGAAGGAGCAGAAGCGGAATATCGGACGGAATGGGCAATTCTTTAACCTAACGGAGGACCAGCGAGAGTACCTAGGTGGCGTCGAGTACCGCTCCCTCAAATTCCTGTCCGTCTTTGTGATCGTCTACTTCCTGCTCTGCCAGTTCTTCGGCGCCATCGCTCTCGGCGCCTGGATGTCGGTTTACGCGGTCGACACCGCCGCCGTCAATTCCCAGAACCCTTGGTGGGCGGGCATCTTCCTGGCCATCTCCGCGTACAACAACGCCGGCTTCACGCTCCTGGACGCCGGGTTCATACCCTTCCAGTCTTCGTACTTCCTGCTTGTCGTCGTCACGCTGCTGTCGCTCGCCGGTCCGGCGGCCTTCCCGGTCTTCATGCGGTTTATCATATGGAGCATGTCGAGTCTGCTCAACCTCCTCTCCAAGGACAAGGAGTACACCGTCTGGAAGGAGGGCTTCGACTTTATCTTGAAGTTCCCCCGTCGCGTGTATACCAGCTTGTTCCCCGCCAAGGACACGTGGATGTTTGCACTTACGTTTGGAGGCTTCGTGATCGTTGATTGGGTCCTTATTCTGCTCCTTAGCATCGGAAACCCGACCATGGACGCTATCCCCGTCGGCCAGCGGATTTTTGACGCGCTCTTCCAGGGATTTTGTAAGTGCCCCTTTCTGACGGCAATGATACCTCCTTAGGTACCTAAGGTAAATAGCGACTTGGATAAGATCATAAGCTAATTAACTATCTACTAAAATAGCCATCCCTTCGGGAGGATACGCGATCGTATCGCCGTCGGCCATGTACTTCGACATCCTAGTGCTTTGGCTCGTCGTATACTACACCGCGGCCTACCCGCACATCATCACCATGCGAAACTCCAACGTCTACGAGGAGCGGTCCCTAGGGATCTACGAAGGCGACCAGCCCGAAGAAGAGCAGCTTCACTCCGCGAGCAGCAGCGTGATCGAGGAAGAAGCCGCCAACATCCTCGACGAAACCGGACTTCATCCCGTCGCAACTAACAACAATAACAATAACAACAACAAGAACTGGGACGCGGTCTCCCGGACGCCGACTACGAAATCCATCACGATGCTCAAATCGGTCGGCCGCCGCGGCACGGCGTTCGTAGGCCGCCAGATCCAGCGCCGCATGACGGCCTTCCAAGGCGTGGGCGTCGCGGCGCCGGCAGCCCCGGCAGGCGCACCGGCGATCAGGCCTCTCGCGCGGGCGAAGACGATGGACTTCGGGCGAGCGTCGGTGCACTCGCTGCAGAACCACCCGCCGGCGGGGCCGCCGAGCCTGGTGTCGCAGCAGGTGCGGGGGCAGCTGAGCCACGACGTGTGGTGGATCGCGCTGATGCTGTTCGTGATCACGCTGATCGAGACGAGCCACTCGCTGGCGGACCCGGTGACGTTCAGCGTGTTCAACATCCTGTTCGAGATCGTGTCGGGGTACACCAACATCGGCATCAGCATCGGGCTGCCCGACCGCAGCTACAGCCTCAGCGGCGGCATGCGCACGGGCAGCAAGATCGTCATGATCCTCGTCATGCTGCGCGGCCGCCACAGAGGGCTGCCCGTCGCCCTCGACAGGGCTATCAAGCTGCCCGGGAGGAAGCTCGCCGAGTACGAGGAGGAAGACGCGGAGATCAGGAGCTTGTCTGCTTTTTCGCGATGAAGTTTTTGGTTTTTGATTTTATTTTTATTTTTCAATTTTTTACATTGATACCGTTGATTGCGTTTGGCTACTACGAATAATGGATGCTACAAGCACAAGACAAACCAGGTGCTCCTAACATCTACCACATTAATACCACGATACACCCGCACAAGGGTTTTTTTTCCTTTGTTACTTTCTCCTCTCCCCCCTTTTATAAAAACAAAAAAAAAAAAAAGCTTTACCGAGATATCAGATACAAATAGACGGGATGATAGATACATGGATTTCGGTTCAAGGGCTACCTAGATACACGTCCGAACTTCTTCTTTTTGACCTTTAGGGTGTAAGGCGAGGCGTTACGCGAAGGCGGCGGCCCGTACACGATTTTTTTGCTGAATGAAGTTATTGAATTCGTTGATAATTCGTTATTACATATTTTTATACAACATACTTTTTGTCGCCCTTGAGATATGAGATATTGAGCTGGGGTATTCTGCTGTTGATTAACGCTTCTATAATATAGCCGAACGAGTGATGAGTGATTTTTTTTTTTTTTTTTTTTTTACTCGCATTAAGGCGCGGCTGCGTCTACTCTTGTCACGTATAAACCTGGTAATACCAAATCCTACCTAGATGTAGAATAATATATAATGTAAATGGCATGCTGATTTTTGAATATCCATCGTAACATAACTGTCAGTCAGGTAGGTGGTTGAACCATGAACCATGAATCATGAACCATGCCTGCGCATTCGAATATCATCATACCTAACGAGGCGCTTCTTCACCAAGCCTGCCCGGTTAGCTCAATCGGTAGAGCGTGAGACTCTTAAGATTCTCGTGGGAACAAACACAGATCAAAGACATCTCAAGGTTGCGGGTAAGTCACAATAGAAGAAAAATTCCTAGGAGGGTGCATCTTCGTACTAACACGGTTCCATAGGTTCGACCCCCGCATCGGGCTCAATTCCTGATGCTTCTCATTAAATGAGGAATAATCAACCTTCTTTTTTTTTTCTTCCCCTTTTTTTGTATTTATTTTTTGTGCGCGTCGGAATGTTCTAGCGCTGACAGGATTACCCCTGAACCCATGCCTTGGCATTCTCGCCCTGCTACTAACCGAAATTAACGAATTTGTCCAAATGCCGAGTTGTGAACATCAGATAGGCGGCTCACGATCGTGCTTTATCAATAATGAGAAAATAAGGTATGATCAAATATATTTCCATCTTGAATCCAATTCCTCTCATGGCTCTAATGTACCATTGATGCGGGAATCATGACTATGCGTCCAAGACCTATCAAGAGGAGTAGATAAAATCCTCAGATCATTGGGAAGTGAAGTTCTGGGTAGGGGTATAAATATAGGTCGGATCATTATTCATTATGTCGTGCATCAGACAGCCTCCTCTCCTCCAGACGCCTGGAGGATATCTGCTCTTAGATAGGTAACTCTATGACCAGAAAAATCCTCTTTTCAATCAAAATCTCCCCACGTCTCAATCACCACTTCCCTCTCGCCTATCCGTACATCGGCCCTCGGTCTTCGTCGAGAGGAGCGCCTTGGTGAATAGCCAGACGAAAGCTTACCGGCATGTCGGTGGCCCCATCTACGGCTAGCTCTAGCTCCCCTTCGGCCGCTGCTTGGTGCCGATGAGCTCATACAATTTCCCATGCTTGCTTCTGATACTGAACTCGGTAAGATATTTGCAGTAGGTACGGTATTTCCGCCGTGTCCGCTCCCAGGTCGCTAAGAGAGGGGAAATGCGATTCCCTCAAAACGGATCCGTCAGAATTAGCGATTAATATTGCGGTGAAGAAGTTAAGAGGTAGGGACAGAGATGCGACGACGAAGGATACAAAATTATTGGGAGGGAGGTTTTATATAGCTACCTCCTAGGTACATTTCATTCAGCCTCTATTCGGGGGCAGCTGATCTGGATAATGCCTCGAGTATGCATGTCACCAGACCCCCTGCTCGTATCTGACCTAACAAATAGGCAGACAAGTGACTCAGAAGGCTTATTACTTATTATCATGACTTCATTAGGCGGGTGGCTAGGACTATAGAAAATCGCTGATATAGTTAGGTCCATATAATATTTTATTTGGTAGCTTTTACAAAAGTCTTATTGAATTGCCGACATGGTTGAAGTGTAGATTCAAGTATACAATCAGGCATCCAACAAGGTTATCAGTTCGGAACCAGGAATTGCCACACCACACCCAACATGCTATATAAATCCACGTGATCACCGTAACTCTCAGCCGACAATAATATCTCATAGGCTTCAGATCTAATGAACAAGTGAAGCCAATAAGCGAGCTTGTGATATTCCTTCTGAATAGACCTGATCTTCTAATCCACATTGTAGCGCATCTGATAAACATTTCGAAGACACCGGTCAGGTAAATTAAAAACAGTTTGGGCTGTGAAATTCTTATCCAAAGAGTCACCGTTACGTAGCATTTAGTAGGGACTGTGGCTAGCTACTCGCTTACCCTTCATTCTTCAATAGTTGCTTGAGCTGTAGGTATGCCTTACCTATTGGACGTCAATCTACCTAGAATAAACCATACAGCACTTAACAATCCATCGCAGGGATGACTTATGAGGCATGGGGAAAGCTTCGTTGTTCCACAAGGAATTCCCCCTCTATGTTGTAGAAACCAGTGACGGTGTATAGTTAAGGTATCCTTTATATAAGTATAGGATGTTTTACCCAAAAGTCTTAGTACAGTGAATACAGAAGTGAGTGTAGTGCCGAGTTCGTGACTATCTAATATCAGATGGCTCGGCTATTCAAGTCACCACCTAGGTCCTTCGTATCCTACTTAGCAAGCAAAGAAGATTATATAAACTCTATCAAACAATTAAACAATTTGGCCTTCCCTTCGTTCTAGTTTTGTCTCCCCCATCATCGCCATTCGCAAACAAACCGAACCGAAAAAACTTGACTGCTTTCGTACCAGCAGCCTAAGAATTTACGAAAACATTAGGTACACTCCTCATCTCGCCTCGTTTCGCATAATACCCACGGCGACAGCACCACAGCGAAGAAACTATGGGTAACTGCCTTAGCTCCGGCAACTGCCACGGGTCCGATGGATGTTGTGGATTTTGTGAATGTTGTGGGCGCGAGACTTCAAGCCGGAATAACGACGATTACGACTATTTGGCCCGGTACTTGACTTGTTGGCTCTTCTGCCACGAGAGCATATGCTGTAGATGTTGCCCGTGCTGCTAAGATGTTCGTGTATTGACGTGGTAGACAGCTCTCGTCTGTCCACCTCCAGGTAGCTAGTCCTCTTAGTAGGGCTACGCTTTAAGAGAGCACTCATCTTTTCTCACCTATCTATCGATATAATTTTAGTCGACAGGGAGTTGGATATACGCAGCAGTTACTCCATCTCAATATAAATTAATAAATTATTAATTATTATACAAACTTCTCAACTGGCTAGTCCTCTGTTTATATGTTGTTATTACCCCTAGTTATATGTCTTACACTATGTATGTATGCTGACATACCGAGCTACCCAAGCTACCTGCCGGGATAGCCTATTAGTTTCACCCAAAAAGATACCTATTTGTATACGCCTACCTATTTGTAAGCAGCCTTGAAAAAGGGAGGACTACATCAACCGTCTAAAAGAAAAGAAAAGAAAAGAAAAGAAAAGAAAAAAGAATACAACCAAAAAATGACGTTGCATCAAATTTCATGATTAAATCCTCAAAAATACATTAAAGTTCTTTTCCATTCTCCCGCATTATGCCCGCAATTCCCCGCCAGAAGGCTTGCATCGCCTGTGCGGATGCCAAGCGCAGATGCGACAAGCAGCTCCCCGAGTGCCAGCGATGCCTGGACAGAGACGTGGATTGCGTCTATCCGCAGCCCAAGAGGCGGCGGAGAAACCTGCCTAGAAGCACAGGCACAAGCACAGGCATTCATCAGCTTGGAGACATTCCCCTGGTCCAAGACCCCGTCCCGGTCGATGCCGATGCCGATGCCGACGTTCCGGTCCCCGGTCTCGACTTCGTGGACTGGGGCGCCATCGAGCACGCTGATCTCGAAGTCTCCCTGTCGGACATGCTAATGCCGTACCTCCAACCCGAGCCGGCGCACACGTACACGCACGTCGCCAACCAACCAGCGCCTCGAATCGCGCTCGAAGGAGACGACAACGACGGAAACAACACGCGCGGCACCATCACGTCCGGCAGCGGCGGCGCCTGGTTCCTCGGGGACGAGACGTGGGTTCTACAGCACAACCAGCACAACAAGCCGGCCAAGACGTCGACGAACGTGGAGCTAGAGCCCTTCGTCCGCGCGGTCGAGGAGATGCTGCACAGCTGGGTGCGCAACGGGCACAACAGCTTCATCCACCGGCGGCTGTACAACCACAGCAGCAGCAGCAGCACCCACGGCGGGCGGGACATGCCCGCCTGCCTCGAGGACGCGTTCACCACGCTGGCGACGTACGTCGGCCGCACGCCCGCGATGCACGATACCATACTGCGGATCGCGGAGCGGCGGTCGTCCGCGCTCGTGAGCGGCCGGCCGGACCCGCGGTGTGCTTCTTCTCCCCCCGGCGAGGAGGGAGATGGAGACGGGGGTTCGGGCACGCAGGGCATACGGGCGCAGCTGGCGCGCGTGCACGCGCTGTTCGTCTACCAGTTCGTGCTGCTCTTCGACGGGGCCGTGCGCGCGCGCGCGCACGCCGAGAGGCAGCTGCCCACGCTGCGGCGGTGGGTCGCACAGCTGTGCGCGGCGGCGCGAGGGTACCGAGGGGAGGACTTGGTATTCCCACAAGACAACCACCAGCATAATAATAATAATAATAACAGCAACAACAACAGCAGTAATTTCGACCGGGACTACGAGACGGCGGCGGGGCTGTGGCAGCTATGGATCCTGATCGAGAGCGTGCGGCGGTCGCAGTTGGTCATCGACACGGTGTGCAACGTGTACGACGCGCTGACGAGGGGGTGGGCGGACTGCACGGGGGCGGTGATGTTCACGGCGCGCCGGGGGCTGTGGGAGGCGGACTCGGCGATGCGGTGGTTCGAGCTGTCGTCGTCGTCTGGCGGGGAGCCGCTTCTGGTGCCGGCTCTGGTGCCGGGGCCGCTCATCTTCCAGCATAGCGCCGACGAGTTTGATGATTTTGTCAGGGTCGTCTGGGCGTGCGTTATTGGCGCGGATAAGATGAAGAGCTGGGTTGATAGGAGTAGTAAAGCGATTCGAGCATAGCTGATGGTATAAGAGGTACCTAAATAACCAAAGCTATGGCGATAACTTCATAGAAGAGACGCATGAAGCCATAGGAATCAGTAGTTAACTAAACATTAAATCATCTCTCAATGAACAATATCGTTCTTCGGCGTAAATATCTATCCGAGCATCCGTAAAGAAACGCGCGCCCCAGACCGTTTAGTCGGAGCTGGCGGCATACGGGCAAATTGCGGAAAATTTGCGGGATTCTAGCGGAATTCCTCATCACGTCGATCATGCGTGTCATGAGGGCGCCCAGTACTTACCACGCAAAATCCTTGCTTGACGTATTTGGAGTGATTTCAAAGCATACTCCAGGGATGAGATAATCAAACCAAAAAAAAAAAGAGGAGGGCATGGCAGCCCGGTTACGACGTCGGTGAGTGAAGTGAAGAAGCCCGCTAGTTATTATAAAGCCGAGCGAACGACCCCCCAATTCTACAGACCATATCTCGCTCTGCATTACCCTCAAATTCCCTTATTTACACTTCAAGTTTCTCTAAACATTTCATTGCCCAATATGTCTCCCTCAGTGCCTGTCAAGATCATCCTCGGCACCCACACGGTATGTACAACCACCACCTACCTATACTCAACGAAGAGCTGTCTCTCTAACCACACGATTATAGGTGGGCAGCAAGTCCGAACATCCCGGGATCGTGCATTTCGACACCGCAGAAGAAGTCCGAGCTCTCCTGGACGCGTTCTACAGCCGCGGGCACAGGGAGCTCGACACGGCGCGCAACTACCCGGGGTCGGAGGAGCGGCTGGGGCTCGCCGGGGCGCCGTCGCGGTTCCTCGTGCACACCAAGGTACGCGACGGCGCGGGCACCACGCACCCGCATGAGCCGGCGCAGATCGCGCAGAGCATAGACAAGTCCCTCTCGGACCTCGGGACCGCCAGCGTGGAGACCATGTACCTGCACGTGCCGGACCGGACGACGCCGTTCGAGGACACGGCCCGGGCGATAGACGAGGGCTTCCGCCAGGGCAAGTACAAGAGGTTCGGGCTGTCGAACTACAGCGAGGAGGAGGTGCAGAGGTTCCTGGACATCTGCGAGGAGAAGGGCTACGTGAAGCCCAGCCTGTTCCAGGGGCATTATAACCCGCTGGTCAGGGGCAACGAGAAGGCGCTGTTCCCGCTCCTGCGCAAACACGATATCGCCTTTTACGCTTATAGGTACCCATGTTCCCAAGTTTCTTAATGCGAGAAGTATAATAAAAAAGATGCGAAGTTGACTCGCCTGTTAGCCCGGCCGCAGCGGGCATTTTCCGCAGCGACGCGGATAAATACAAAACCGCACGATGGAAAGACGACGTAAGTCCTCTAAGCGAAGTTTTTTTTTTTTTTTTCCCCTTCCCTTCCACCTGGACCGTCCAAACTAACAAGACACGCGCGGCAGAACCAAATCGGGGCTATATACAGCGCCATGTACGGCAAGCCTGCTGTCGCGGAGGCGGTAGACGTGGTCCGGGACGCGGCCGAGAAGCACGGCATCAGCGGACACGCGGCCGCCCTGCGCTGGACGGCGTTCCATAGTATCCTGGACGGGAAGTACGGGGACGGTATTATCTTCGGCGTGTCCAACTTGAACCAGCTTAAACAGACCCTCGACGCGATTGACGCAGGACCGCTCCCCGCTGAGCTCGCGAAGGCTATTGACTCTGTTTGGACTGTGGTTGACGGCCAGGGACCGCCTTACTATATTTAGGTGGGCGTTTTGAGGCCATTTTTGAATGAAGTATGGCGAAAGTGAATTTTGTTCTATTGGTTAGGAATTTATAAACCAAGTCAGGTTGCTTTAATAGTACATCATGGATGTACCTTCAATTATGCCTATATGAGTGACTTGGGGTATCCCTGTAGAGGCTGCCTTATCGCGTCCGATAAATTGCTCCTAGCGCAGGTACTCGGAGAATTAGCCGCAGCTGGGAAGAAATAGGGATGGAACTGAGAGACCCGACCGTTGACCCATTCCCCACTTCATTAGTATAGGGGCAGTTTGTACGGATTATGAGATACCTGACAGATACACCGCTGAGCCAAAAGTGTATTTCTTAATAGCACAATCGCTATTACAGTCTATCTGATCATGAGTGGTATTACCACTCACAATACCTAACCTGACCATTGGAAAGGTTCAGTCGATCTATTGAATAAACCTCATCCTACCACTGCTCAGGGCTTTATTTATAAACTATCTAACCACCGTAGTGAGACATGGTTTAACTTAGCTATTTACATTTTTTTTTCTTTTTCTCTAAATTAATACTCACTGAGTACCTAGGTACTCATTTTATCCCAGCGCCCAATTATACACTCGCTAAGTACCTAGGTATTCAGGGTCTTTTAAGCTCCCCTTAAGATGTCACCGGCCCCGAACACCTCGTACAAAAGCCGGTCCGTAGGTACTCACCTTATACTCGCTAATCACTTAATAAGTACTTATGTGCGATAGCAAGGGTGGCTATGGTATTCAAGCCATGAAACCCGGCCGGATAATTGCCCGCCTTTTGACATGAAGGTAAAAAACTACAAGTACTTCTCCAGTTATCAACGAGTACTCACATCTAGTCAGGACAAGACTACGGTGATCATCCCGAACGGGGAACTGTTCTGTCGCTGTAACATGAACCGCAACACCGACAAGCCCGTCGACTTGTGCTTCCGTACAGTATCTCTCACCAAGTACTCACCGAGTCCTTGAAATATACTTACAAGACATTGTAGGACAAGCAGTCTCACTGGCCCAACTTGAAGCGTCATGTCGAGTCCCATCGTGTTCAGGTGGGGGATGAGGATGTCCCCGTCACACTAACGAAGAACAGGACAGGCGGGTTGACGATGACAGACCATCGCAGACTACCTACATGTACATACCTAAAGCAGTGGGTACCTACCTCCTAAGGTTAGGTACCTACCTAGGTAACCTTACCGTGGTACTGTGGAGTAGTAATAGTAGTAGTAGGTAGTAGTAGGTAGTAGTACCTAGTATATCTATCGTCTATTGCCCTACATCTTTAAGGGAGATAATTAAACGGGCTCGCGGCGACGGCAGAGCCATTTTATAGTATGCGTAGCTGTGTATAGTAGGGAAAGGTACATCAGATCCCCCAAATCCATGGCCCAGATTATTGTGATAAAGCCGCGGCGCGCATCACGACGCGTCTCGCAACACGCTTTCACCTTACTAAATATTTATTTAATTTACTTAAACATTTTATATTGTATGCACTATAAAATAAAATTAAATTCTATATAAAAGTAATAATATATATAATTTTTTACGTTTAAAAATAAAATGGCTATTAATAAATAAAATTTATAATTTTTATAAAATGTTAAGAAGTACGTACGTATGGTAAAAGCAATAAATAAGTAAAATAATAATAATAATGGTAAAATTGGTATATTAATAATGTTTAAAGAAAGAAGAATTTATTTAAAGTTAGTTAATAATGTAATATCCTTTTATATAATAATAGTGGGTATATTATTTTTTTTTAATATTAGTAATAAGGTACTTTATTTTTAATAAAGTGTTTACGTGTTAATGTTATACAATTATTACTTATTTTATTTTCTTTTTGCAATTAATTAATTACGAAGTTAATTATATAATAAAAAAAGTTTTTAAAAAGAAATTTATAATAGCACGTGTTTATATTAATTCGAATATATATTAACGCGTATATAGATTATTTTATATATGGGTTAAAACGTATATACGTTAATATATATTTATATTAATATATTATATATTTTTATAATAAATTAAAGTTAAAATTAAAATAGCTTAAATTAAAGGTTATTTTATATGTTAAATTATATTAATTTATATTATACCATTTTATATTTAAATTAATTAATAAGTTTTTATATAATATTTTTTATTATAATTAATATTTGTAATTAATTGTAATAACTTATTATTATAATAGCATATAATTATTTTTAAGCTTTTTATATTTTATTTATCTTTTTAAACGTAAGTTAATTTAATTATTTTTTATTAATGTTTTTATAATTTTATTTAATAATGCTTTTATTATAATATTAATTAAGTTATACGTGTTATAAATTTAGCAAATATTATTTATTTTTCGATTTTTATAAAATTATTATAATGTTATTAAATTAATTATTAATTTTTTTATTTATATTTTTTATTTGCATTAAATATTAATATAAGGAAAAGGAATTAATATATAAAATAAAAAAAGCTTTTAAAAATAATAAATAATTTAAAATAATATTAATAAAATAATAAATAATAAAACTTATATTAAAATTTTATATTATTTTATAAATTTTATTAATAAGTATATTATAAGTAATGTATTTATATTTAGTAAATAATTAATAAATGATATTTTTAATAATACGAAATTTGTTATTTTAGTTTTTAAGTTTTTTATTATTTAAAATAATAATGTAATTAATTTATAAGTTAAAGTTTTCATTATTTATAAATAATTTATTAATAAATATATATAATTATAGGTTTTAAGGATTTAAGTTAATATAATTAAGTTTATGTATTTAATTATTTAATTATTATTTAATTTTAATGTTAAAGGTTTTAACTTTTTTAAAATTGGATTTTAACTATTAAATTATTATTAAATAGTTAAAAGCAGTTTCGAGTTAATATATAAAAGAAATATATGCTTTTTAAGCCTTTTATTTTATAAATTATTAAATTATATTTAAGCATTTAACATTTAATAGCGTTAATTTTTTAGTTTATCCTTTTTAAATAATAATAATTTTATAATTTTTATTATAAATAGTAATGTAAAAGTTATTAAAATTTTTAATTTTATTATTTAATATTTTTTAAAAATGTATTTTAATTTTAACTTTAGTAAGTATTTTATTTTTAATGGTAAAAAACTTTATTATTTTTATGTTTAAAATATTATTTATTTAGAAATTAGTAAATTTAAAAGGGTTTAAATTTATTATTAATAAATATAAGTTAAAAGTTAATAATTTTATATGTAATTTTTGTTAATGGTAATATAAATATATTTTAAATTAATAGATATTTAATTTGGTAAAACTATATAAAGATTTAATAATATATAATAACGTTTTTTTAAAATATTTATTTTTTAATTTATTTAATAATTGTATAAAAATCGTTTTTTATATTAATATTTTAAATTAGGTATAAATTATTATAATATTTTTTATTATAATTTTTATTTTTTAGTAGTAAAATATAAAAATTAAAATTAATATTAATTATTAATTATCTTTTTGAATAATAAGTGTATATATTATAATGAATTTTTTATTAAAGTTATTATATTTTTAAATTATTAAATGTAATTTTTTATAAAGCGTAAAGGTGTTTTTACTTTTAATTTTACGGATTATTTGTAATTTAAATATTGTTATATTTTAATATATTATTATATTATATATTTTAAGTTATAAAATACCTTTTTTAAATGGGGCGTTTAATTTTTTTATATTTAATGTTTTATAAGGTTTTTTTAAAGTAATTATTTTATTATTTATTTAAAGTTAAAGTATTAAAGCGAGGTTATTCCGTTTTTTAGTACTAATATATAATATAATAATGTATAATAAATTATTAACGTGTATAAAATTTTCTTTCGAAATAATTTAGTAATTGTTAAAGTTAAATGTAAAATTAAGTAATTCGATTTTAATTTCTTTTAAAAGGATTAAAGTTTTTTTAAGTTAAATATAAAGTTTAATATATAAATTTTAAAAAGTAATCGCGGACTCGCTGCTGCTGCCTCCGGTTTAGCGGCACCGCCCAAACGGGCAAAGCGCTCTCGCCGCCCATGCTCCCGACCACCCATCACGTGACTCTCTGTATATAAGACAGCAACCTCCTCCGGCTGTGTGAACATGTATCTTTGACCTATGCTTCCTTCCACCCTCCGCGCACTTGCATCCACCGTTTCACCTCTTCGGCGGCCATCGCTGCCTTCAGCCCCAGCCCCAGCCCCTCTCCTGCCGCGTCATCGTCCTGCATTGAGATGAAACTCTGCAGGAATCGATCGATCAAGGCGACGCCTGCTCTCGTCCCCAGAGTCAGGTCTTGGACGGCATGAGAAGAATACTACCACTCATCTTCATCATATCCTCTGCTACTCTTTCCTACTCTACGGTTCGTATGGCTTTCCTTTCCGCCCTCTTCTCATGGAGTCTAACAAGGACTTACAGCCCAGAGGCGTTCCCCTCACCGGACTGCCTCACAGCTCTTCGATGCTTCCCAGGCAGCAGAGCATCTCACGGCGATGCTTGTCTTTGTGAGGCCTCCAACAGCACCCAGCCAATGGCAGAAATGCCGCAGTGGCTTATCAATCCCCTCCTAGCCCCTGAAAGCATGATGGTGGATGGTGCCATCTCAGGCCCGCCTCCTGAAACTGGCACGGGCACCTACGGAGGCTTCCGACACGACCTTGCTCCTCGATTGGTCCCCTGATCCGGGCGGAGAGTGAGGTCACAACTCGCTTGGCGGGGTCCGAGTCACGATGTCTCTGCTCAGGGGTTGCCGAGACTTCCTGCCGCTTGGGGGAACGATCCCTTGGCCCGGCGCCGCTCGCGATGGCTCAGCGGCTTCGAAATCGAGAGCAGGCCAGCGAACCGAGAGGGATAATTGGGGGACGAGGAGACGGGGATGTGGACGGGGACGGGCGCATTTCGGTGAGTTGTTGGTGTTGCACGCATGTCAACCCCGTTTGTCTCACTGCTGCGGGTTCATGAGGCGTCTGTGACGGCATCTGGTGCTCTCCCGTCCTCTGAATGGCTCAACAAGTTCGTGGCTGTGGGCGACCAACATGCGCAGGCGCGGCGTTGGGCTCCATCACGGTCAGACGGAAGACCTAGTGCTGCCGGGAACTTTCTATCCGATGCTATGTGACCGCTTGGAAATGACGCGTCGTGCGTGAACAGCCCAACAGGCATGAAGACCTGCCTTATCTGGTATCTCCTCGAGGACTCTGCCTTGCCAACGAGTGGCGCGAATCCCTGACGATGTGCGGCAAGCTGAATCGAGGGGGGCATCATGTGTTCAGCATAGCTGCCTTGGTGTGGCCCGGCAGTGAAGTGATTGGGACGAAGGAGAAGCAGCGTTACGTGTCTGCCTCCATCCGACCCATCACCATCTTGGAGAACACAGGGAGGCAGCAGGGAGACATCGAGCCGGGCGCCCGTAAGCGATTAGGACTCATGTTGCCGCATGGTTCAGCAGCGAGCATATAAGCCGGACAATGCCCGCCCATCCTCACTTGGTTGTACTGCGAACACCAAACCCCTTTTCTCTTTTCCTATCCGCACTCTGCAACGCAAGCATGGCCTCGGCATCTTTTGACTCTGAACAGCGGAAGCTGTGTCAAAGCCTCACTCCTCCTGCCTCTCAGCCAGACATGGTATCTTTGCTGAGGAAGAAGGCGCTCTCGGCTATTGGAAAATCCAGCGACACAGCGATTTGCATTCCCTCTGATGTCGAGTCTGACACTGAAGATGAAAATGACGAGAGTCGAGAACTCAACAACTTGCAATCTTGCGCAGCACGTGCCAGCATCCCGGACTATCTGGGTAAGTCTTCGACGTTGTGGTGCTCAGTTTAGGTGGAAGGTTCTGACAACCGACGTCTAGATCTCACCGGCATTGAACAAGGCGCAACTGAATCAGAAGCTGCCATTGGCGTGGTCACTGCGCCAACAGTACCCCCAGCTCAAGCGGAAGCCGCCCCACCTTGGCCGAGTGAGACTCAAGTTTCTCACCTCACTGATGCCGAACCAAGCCAGAAATCTTGTGAGATGAATCAAATACTTACTGGAGATGTGTCTGCCTCTCAAGATGTCAATCTCGCAACCCCTCCTACTAGCCCTGAAAGCCAGCTATACCCGGCCGCGGCGGATGAGCAAGAGCTTCGACCCGTACCAGTCAGTGAATGGAGCAACATAATGATCGATGCCGTCTCTGACCATGGCATTTGTTATGACGCCCAGGGTCATCCGGATTCCCCCTCGACTTACACGCACTCTCCGCGGACTGCCAGCCCTGTCGGGGTGACCCAAGCCTCACTCGAGGCAAGCGAAGCACCCGCCGGCAGTTCGCACGACGATGCCATTTCTGAAGTCCACGCCCAATCTCCCGCAAGGTCTTCGGCCGAACCGCATCAAGCACAAGGCTTGGGCGATGCTAGCTGCACGCCCAGCAATGCCGCGTCCGAGGTCGCGGAGGCTGGATTCGAATCGCCATCTGAAGCCCAAGTATCGTCCCCGTCCCCGTCTCCTCGTCGTTCCCGTCGCATCTCCTTGCAAACACATAAAACGATGCAGTTCAAAGATGGTGATGCAGACAGTGAGGGTTCAGGGAGTGAGGACGGCCTCAATGGGTCAGAATCTCACTACCGGGACGGATACTCTCCTTCACTTGCGGACAGTGAGGGTTCTGGCTCGGAGGACGATGATGCCGATGGTGTACACCAAGGTCGCAAGCGCCGCAAGGTCTCAAACTCCGCTTCCTGTTCAGTCCACAGTACCGCCGCCAGTTCTCGGGGCTCTCGGAGCTCTCGCCAAAGACGATCGACAACACATGCCGCACAGTTGCCGAGCGGGACCCGAACGTCTGGACGTGCCATTGACAGCCCAACACCGTCACAAGCAACACCAGCTCCGTCCGAGGCTAACATGATTCTTGCTTGGTTCGAGGAATGGCTTCTCGGAGACGTTTTTCTGAAACGCATCACTGAGGGTGGCAAGACGACATTTCAATTACAGTTTGACTGGGACTCCGATTTATGTCCGCCGCATGCTAGTAGATCTGTGTCGAATCCAAAGAAGCGCACAAGGCCGTCTAAGACTTCGCCTTCAGTTACAAAATCGCCCGGCGCAAGATGGACGCCAGAAGAGGATGAAACTGTGCGCAGGATGAAACAAGATGGCGATTCTTGGGCCACTATCCAGCACGCCCTTCCGCACCGTTCTCAGGGCACGATCCAAGTCCGGTACTCGACCAAGCTCAGGGATTAAGCCGGTCAAGTACAGCGGCTGAACTCAACTGTTTTCGGGAAGAGAGTTGGATAAGTTAATGTTAAGATATGAATAGTAGCCTTTTTTTGTCGTTCAGCTTGAACATTTGCCAATGCTCGCGTAGGAATGCTTCCTTAGGGATAGCATTTTGCAGCAGGTTATCCACTGCTTACTTGCCCTGGGTGGATGGCACTTACTTGTCCGCGGTTAGAATCCATTGGTGCCGCTTAACGAGTAGCTTACTAATCGTGCAGCACGTAAGGGGTCGATTGTGGTCAACAGCGAGCCGGAGCGGGACCAAAAGCCGGGACTGCCGGGCGCCTTGGAACTCGCACCGAGGCAGAAACCCGTATTGCGGTCATGCGGATCTGGCCACAAACTCTCTCTGAGCTTTTTACTATGGTTGAGCAACCAGAACTATCTAATAAGAGCCAAGTAAGGCCTTTCTGCTGTCGCTTTAATCTTGATATAAAATAGAGAATTAACTAAATGGAATGTCTGTCCACGTAATAGCGGATAAAAGTCACTCCAAGCATGTCATGCAAGGACACAATCGGCCATCGGGAATTGTGGGTACATTCGACGCCGAGCCGGCCTCCACTTGCGACCGAAAGAGGAGCCCCGGACAGCCAGAAAACAAGGGCCATCCAACAAGCAAGATGTATCTATCTGCAGCCACCAGCTTCTATCTCAAAAGAAAGCATTAAGCAAACAGAAACTCCATGTACAGAATGGCCAGTGTTTTTCAAAGTGAAGGGGCCGTGGATCACATGATTCCTAGTACTAGATAGTTCTCGTTAGGTCTGGAAGGCAAGAACGCCGCAGTCCACTCTACTACAAATTTTGCTCGGCTACTACGACCCTCTGAGAACAAAGTTAAAAGGAAATTAAAGAGAAAGAAATGATGCTGGCTTTTTCTAATAGCACATCTGAAACTCGATAAATACAGGGCTAGCCAGCTAAGGTAGGAAATAGTTACTGGCTGGGATTCCTGCTTCTAAATCAAATAGAACTAATTTCGTAGGTCACTACTAACTAGAAAAGGGCTGCTTATGACTAAAAAGATAATTATGCCTGCCTCCGCTCTAAGAGAATTTCATCACCAGCACACGACCTGAACGAGAGCCGATAGCGATCGTTGATCCGACAACAGCGGATTCCCCCTCTCGATAGTCCGGAGGTAGCCAAAGCATCTCCTTTCCATCTTTGACAATCCATACACCGTCGGTGCTTATACCCCAGCCAGAATGGCGAACACCCCGTAAGGTTACTGCAGTCGACTGATCATCAATGGCAGGCGGTAGAGCCGGGTGATCCAGGTTTAGAAGTCCAATGTCCGTAGAGAGGAGAGAGTTTGTCGTTGGATCGAATGAAAGGCGATATAACATTCTCCCAACGTCGAGTGTTTGCACGCACGCGCCCGTGGCCGCGTCCCAGATCTTGACCGTCCTGTCGTCCGAGGCCGACGCGAGACGTTGGCTATCCGCCGAGAACACTACCGAGCTTACCCAACTGCTATGGCCCTCGAGCGTCTGCACGCACGCGCCCGTAGCCGCGTCCCAGATCTTGACCGTCTTATCATACGAGGCCGACGCGAGACGCTGGCCATCCGCCGAGAACACCACCGACCTCACCGAACCGCCATGACCCTCGAGCGTCTGCACGCACGCGCCCGTGGCTGCGTCCCAGATCTTAACTGTCCCGTCGTACGAGGCCGACGCGAGACGCTGGCCATCCGCCGAGAACACCACCGAGTTCACCGAACCGCCATGGCCCTCGAGCGTCTGCACGCACGCGCCCGTGGCCGCGTCCCAGATCTTGACCGTCTTATCGCTCGAGGCCGACGCGAGACGCTGGCCATTCGCTGAGAACACCACCGAGTTCACCCAATCGCCATGGCCCTCGAGCGTCTGCACGCACGCGCCCGTGGCCGCGTCCCAGATCTTGACCGTCTTATCATACGAGGCCGACGCGAGACGCTGGCCATCCGCCGAGAACACCACCGACCTCACCGAACCGCCATG